AACCTGATCCCCTGCGAAACTACACGTATTTCTTTGTGACCATAATACGTATACCAGGTGTGCAATATCTTATCATCCTCCCATCTATGCCTAGGTATTCAACGTGGTATCTTCTCCATAGCCTGACAACAACAAAAAAACTACACGCACTTCTTGGAAAATCACGCGTGGAATGTGTCCTGCTCGTCTCATCGTCTTGATCAGATTACAGTAAGTACAGATATTAGGAGAACAAAAAAAAAAAAAGGCTAAGTTCAACTCTTAAGTTTTTATGGAGGTATTTCTGTGAAATCAGCTAATTTGTATTTGGAAGGCTACCCACCACTGACTCGCGTCATTGTAATCTAATTATCATGGTTTTACCAAGGTCCTCCAGACGAATGTCAAGGTAATACTTTAAACTACACTATTTAGCTTTCTTCTGTTCCAACCCCGTTTCTCTACTTATCTCCCTGTCTGTCACTTGACGTTACAATATGGCTGATGTCGCTCCCACCTCAGAGGTTTGCCGGCCATGTTAGTAATGGTAACACTCGCGAAAGTGGATGAGCTTCAATGACACGCTAAATTCCCATTTCAAACAAGGCACCTCAATAAAGGAGAATTTTTGACAGATCTTCCATCACACACATTTTAAGAAGTTATAATAAACTGCGGTAGTACTGTTTCGCATAACCGCCATATTTATATCTTTGAATGTAGAATATATAAAATCGGGGATTTTAATAAAATTCAGTACAAATTCAATCGAAATCCTTCCATGCTTTAGAAAGCTATTTACTAGTAATTAAAATGTGAACATAAACATCCTATTTTTAAGGCTGTATCTTAGAAAATAAGACTAACTGCGTACTTTCTGAACACGTTGTGACAATATTTAGTCTGAATAATAAACGCATCGTAACAGTTCCGTTGCGTTCCTTTCTCTTTACTGGTCTCATTCCGCGCTATAAGCCCACGGTATATTCCATGTTCTCCAATTTACTTAACACTCTGCTGTGCCATGTCGTCTCGTATCCAAAAAGGCATGATCAAAGGGACTGTCATGAAAATTTCAGAGCTTTTCTCGGCGTAAATAGCAGAACATAAAAAGACTTGCTGCCTTGGAGGGCGTGGAATGGTAGAGATAAGATGCCTTCAGCCAGCGAGAATGCAGCAACTTATCACTGACCCAGCAGCCGTTCCCATTTTTCTCGTTACTAGGTGAACGGTAGCCAAACTGGGGTCCGCAGAACTTCTTAAACTATCAACTCCGCGAAGCAGAGTCCTTCTTCAGAACACAGGCACAGTTATCCTCAGAAAGTCAAGAAATTTCTCGCATTTAATATACTACAAAGTTCATTCTGTGTTTGCAACAGACCATCACTGGTTCCTATCCTTAGCCAAATAAATCCAATCTATACCCTCGTATCCTGTTTAATTGAAAAACATTTTAATATTATCCTCATATCTACCGTTATTTCGGATAAAGCAACTTTAAATTTGGATTTATTTCAGCATTACTCTTGTCCTAAAACTCACATCTGTGGCCTGCTCTCTTTAGTCTATTTGAAGACAAACGGTGCAAATTATTCTGAAACTGAATGAGACAGCAGGGCTTTATCACGAATGTGTGACACAAGAAATGCATACAAAATTCTAGTCGGAAAACGAGAAGGAAAGGAACCAGTTCGGAAACCTATGCGAGGTGAGAGGATAATATTAAAATGGGCTCTGAATAAACGCGGTGCGATAATGTGGACCGCATTCATCTGGTTCAAGATAGGGCCCAGTTGTGGGTTTTTGTGAGTACTGTAACAAACATTCAACTCTACATAAAGTAGAGTTTCTAGAAAAGAGATTGTAGGTTCTTAAGAGGAACCCACAATCTTCATTATGATTACATAGCCAAGAGCGATTTCTAGAAACCTATCAAATTAATCGTAATGATGAGATAAATTGTACACAACAGGACACAGTCTGTGGTCACGTAGAAGGTAGAATAAATCACTATTACGAGATAAATTATACAGTCGAGGGACGTGAAACTTCTTAATTTGGTCGCTCCATTCAGATATTACAGTTTTTCATTAACACTGGTGACATTCAGAGAACGATAGTTTTAAAGTAACTTTATCCAGTTATTAATGGCGCATCTGTTGTAAACATAAAGATCACATACCTACCATTATGGGGGATGAACAACCCCCCCCCCCCCAAAA